ACAGTGCTAATCTATTTAATAAGTAGATAAAAGAGGCCAATTATTAGCTCCCCAAGAACCGTTCATTTCATCACTGTGGCGAGAGCAGCTGCTTTGATGTTTCTCTCGCTTGTACCTTAATTGCCAGGCTGTGAGAGAACCAATTTAGGTGGCTGAGCTCTTGTTTCCTAATGACCTTTGCAAAGATTATTTACTCTGATTAATGTGTCCATCTTTCAAGATATTTCACTACTGTAAAAAAAAAAAAAGGAAAGGAAAGGAAAGAGGGGGAAGGAAAGATTACTGTGAAGCATGGTAGTGGATATAACTCAACAGTCACCTGCTGCAGGCAAATTGGATGGAAAGATAAGCACATTCTCAAGGACCGCAAGAGGGTGTTAAAACCAAAAACGAAGATAAATGGAAGAAAACTGTGTAGCTGGGAGGTGAGTTGTCAGCACACATAGTGCCCCTTGCCTGTGAAATAACAGAAAAACAATGGGAAAATAAGTCCAGGGGCATAAAAGATGTATTTGAAAGGCTGGAAGGAATATTAATGTGTCATGGATTGAGTTTCTCTTCTCTATGGAACTGGTGGGAAATCTCAGGCACAGAGGCAGAAGGCAGCTCTTCAGTCCTCTTCCCAATCCATCCCCTCTCCACACTTCATGTGCTGCTTGAATGATTGTATTGAGCTGGAAATGTCCTTAAATTGTGAGATTGCCTCTTGCATCCCTTGATGGTGGAATGTGTTGTGTGTGCATGTAGAAAACGCTTCTTGGTTGTTGCAAGACTGGAAAATAACTTGCTGCACAAAGGTAAGAGTCACACCTGTTTCTCTGCCAACTTATTGGGCTTTTTGCCTCCAACCACATCCACGCTTGACTTTGGCCCCTCCCTCCCTATCATGTGACCCCAGGAAGGTTTTACCTTGAGGTAAAATGAGTTCCCTACTGACTCCCTGTTCTACACCAGTCATTTGCTCCTGGAAAGATGAGCTTGGAACTTGAGCCACGTTGCCAACTCCCTGAGAACAGAAATGGATGAAAAAGGAACTGAAGAGCTGGGGCTGATTGGAGTTGTGGTTCAAAACCTCTGGATGGCCCCAGATTGCTGAAGGCTGTCCCACACTATCTGGGTGAAAAATGGCCAGGTGGCAGCAACCCTATGTGAAAGGGAAGTACAGTGGTACCTTGGGCTACAGACGCTTCAGGTTACATACGCTTCAGGTTACAGACTCCGCTAACCCAGAAATATTACCTCAAGTTAAGAACTTTGCTTCAGGATGAGAACAGAAATTGTGCAGTGGCGGCACAGTGGCAGCGGGAGGCCCCATTAGCTAAAGTGGTGCTTCAGGTTAAGAACAGTTTCAGGTTAAGAACGGACTTCCGAAATGAATTAAGTTCTTAACCCGAGGTACCACTGTATCCTGTTTCCAGCTACAGTCAGACAAAATGCCTGTTCCCCTTTGGCATTCCAGATCCTGTGCACTTCAGTAGCAATATATAGTATTCAGGCAGGTTGTAAGAGTAACTGAACACACCTGAAAAATGGGGCATGCATGGCTGTGTACATTTTTAGCACCAAAATTATGATGATGATAAATTATCTTGAACTTTGAAAACCACAATACTAACTCCATAGAGAGACTGAGACGTATCTTGCAGTGGAAGGAGTAAAGAAATTCTAAGCTAAAAATGCTCCTCTTAGAATCTGTATGACATTTGTTCAAATCTGTGATGGTATCTTTTCTCCTATTGTGCTCTCTGTTCAAGACCAATGCTTTTAAGCAAGGGATGATATTGTACTCGTTGACTAGTGTCAATGTTATCATATCTATTTCATAGAAGAGGAGCATTCAGTAGGTATGGACTCTCCTGTAGTTTTTGACAAGACTGCTTGTTCAACCAGCATAAGAAAGAGCAGAGTGGGAGTGTATAATAGGCAGAGAGAGTCAAAGACTTTAATGACATTTGAATCCTGTCTTGAAAACAACAGGGAGTTAGCTAACTTTTCACATTAAAAAAAAATACCTTGGCATATGGTTTGGCCCTTAGGTGGTCTTTGAAAACCTACCAATTCAAAGAGGACCTTAATGTTTACTACTTTACTGTTTTTAGAGTTGTTTTTATCTAATGCTGCTGTTTTATAGTTTTAATTATAGTACTGTGAATTGGATGCTGTTTGTCATATTTACACAGTTTTAATTAGTAGATTGATAGTGTTTTATAGGTATTCATATTTTATGAAAAGCGGGACATATACTGAAAGCAAAACATAATACAAATTGAAATAATGATAATAATGATTATGATGATAAAAAGGCATATTATTATATAACACAATACATGTAGAATTGGAGAGTCTGGATATCTTTTTTTTTTATATATTCAGAGTGCTATCAAAAAGTTTGAAGTGTCACAGGGGCATTTGCCCAAAGCTTAAGTTCTGTTAGCTTAACTTTCAAGCTGAAGTCAACGCTCGGATAAACTTTTAATGACTGAACAGATTCAAATTCAAATGCTGCTATCATTAAAAACCAATAATCTAACAAACTAACTACACTGCAGATTTGTGACAGCTGGTCATTAGGTATTTAATTACTGTTCATTGAATTAGTGCATCCAGTTCCTAGTGAATATTAGATCTTATTAAATAATATACTTTAAAAAAAAAAAAAGCAAAACTAAAATAAGTGTTGATCAAACAGTTCCGTCCCCTTGCAAAATATGCTTATGAACCAAACATAAGCTTTCAGGGAAATGCAAGCAACCCACTGAAAAAATGTTAGCTTTGAAAAGAAAGGGGGTATGTAAAAAGCCCAAGTATTTTTCATCTAAAACTATAAATGTGCTTTAGCTGCCATGGTGACAAAGTGTGCATTAGGTCAAACTGTGCATTAGATCAAGATGGCTAGGGAAGCATGAATGTAATGCCATCTTTTTAAAGGTTTTGCATATAGAAGCCTCTGGGGGTCTCTGTTCTGGATCAGGACCATAGTGTGGAGGGAGGGCTTCACTCATTCCCCAATTGATACCCCGACTCTGGAATTTGCTGTTTGCCCCTTTGATAAAAATATATGGACACAGAGACCCACTTAGCTTAGGCAGACATGACCTCAGGCACACCTGCTTTCTCCCACGCCTAACCAAGGTGAAGAGAGAAGGTTCTACCTTCTCTGCTTTCTCCTCTCCTCTCCCATTGCATCTGCTGCAACGAAAAACACAAAACAACCCACAACAACTTCAAGCTCTTCCATTCTGTTCAAGCTTTCCAGTGTCATTGTCAAAGGAGTGATGCACAGCCCACAATCCCCTTAGTGAAACGAAGATGGACCAGAATATTGCATGACCTTTGGCCATAGGGTGACTGAGCCATTCAGAGTGAAGTAGCCTTAAGGAAAGCCATAAGGTGTCAGGGACACGCCCAGCAGAGAGGAATCTCCAGAGGAAGAGGAATTGGCTGCACCTGAGTCGCCAAGAAGTAGGCAGAGCAAGCGATTAGAGCAGAGGCGGGCCAGCAGGGGGTGAGGACGTGGCGTATATCTGGCCTTGGGAGGGGTCAGAAGCCAGTCGAGTCAACTGACTCCGATGGCGAAGGATGAGTTGTGGAAGCTTGGACTGCTGTAAGCCTGTTATTGAGAAATAAACCTTAGCTACCTAAACTGCCGGGACGCGCGTAGCACTGTGGGTTAAACCACAGAGCCTAGGACTTGCCGATCAGAAGGTTGGTGGTTCGAATCCCCATGACGGGGTGAGCTCCTGTTGCTCAGTCCCTGTTCCTGCCCACCTAGCAGTTCGAAAGCATGTCAAAGTGCAAGTAGATAAATAGATACCGCTCTGGTGGGAAAGTAAACGGCGTTTCCATGCACTGCTCTGGTTCTCCAGAAGTGGCTTAGTCATGCTGGCCACATGACGCCGGCTGTACGCCGGCTCCCTTGGCCAATAAAGCAAGATGAGCACCGCAACCCCAGAGTTGGCCACGACTGGACCTAATGGTCAGGGGTCCCTTTACCTTTACCTTACTTAAACTGCCAGCGTTCCGTGTCTTGAGTGGGAGAAGCACTAAACCTGACATAAGGTTACCCCACCTGCCTCGGAGGAGGCAGTAAAACCTGTCACCCAGGTCAGGGAGGCGTGAACTGATGGGACTAGCTCAGCCTTCTTGGGAAAGTGCTAGGTTGCTTGCCCAGTCTAAGGATTAGAACCATTTGCCATGTTAAGTTGTGCCCACCCTTTCCCCTTATAACAGGGTTGCAGGGTGTGTGTTGCTATTGGATCAATGTCTGTGCTTGTGTAGCCATGGGCAGCACCTGCTGTGCCTTTGAACATCATAGAATCATAGAATTGTGGAGCTGGAAGGGACCCTGAAGATCATCTCATCCAATCCCCTGGAATGCAGGGATGTGTAGCTGTCCTATGTGTGGATGTAATCCACTGAGAGCAGTCAAGTACAACATTCCTTGTTTTCCTAGAGTGGACATGCAAGGGAATGTTTGGTCCAGCCAGTCAAAACTTCCTGTTCCTCCTGGCTCCGGAGCATCCTTCCTTGCATGTGACTAGTGGGTGGGTGTGACTTTTCCAAACCTGGTAAAAGGACAAGGCATGCTGCCACTCTCTCTCTTTTCCATCTTCTTTTCGTCCTGCGAACTTCCTGGAATGAACTGCTGGCTGCCTTATGGGGTAAACCTGTTAGTATAAGTTTGTAACTTTAAGCCTAAAGCTTGCCTTCAGGGATTACACTGTGCTCTGCCTGATCGTGAGAAAACTTTATTTTTATTGCTTATGAATAAGACGGTGGTGTCTTTAGTCTTTTAGGAGGGATTTAGAAGGGGATCTTACCAGGAACATACAATTCAATCTGAGGGAGATTGAATTGCATAATAGTAAGAGGTTCTTACAAGCCTGCAACCAGATTTCTGTTTTGCGTGAGAAGGGGCATGTAAACTCTGCTAAGTAAAGGAACTTCCTAGCGCAAGTTGGGAAGGATATTAATAAACAATATATCCTCTCCTGCCACCCTGAACATTCCCACACCATACAGGGATTCAACCTGCAACTTTGGCATTATCAGCACCACGCTCTAACCAACTGAGCTATGCAGCTATCCTGTGCTTCACTTTGAGCAATAGAGATTTTGGTAGAAACCTCACCCTGAGTTTGAGTTCTTCATGGAGCGGAAGCCAGGACACAGACACTTGCAGTCAGCATGGAGAGAGCCTGTGTCCTCCAGCCTTTGACAGACCCATACTGCTCCTGCTTTATCTCCTTCCTCTCATCCCCATCTACCTGGGGCTGCCAAACCACACCAGATCCTGACAAAACAAAGAGGCCCATAACACTGCCAGTGCAATGGGGTAGTGCATGAAGCCACTTTCCTGTAACTGGTGTCACCACTGCTTACCAGGATAGTGCAGGGTTGATGTTTTGCAAGTGCACTGGTGCAGCCAATCTGGGGCTCCTTCCACTGTGCCCATGCTGCCCCAACTTTGCCACTACCCTGCCTGCCCCTGCACTGTCCCAATTTGTGGCAGCGATGCCGGTATTGTGTGGGTGTGACCCCCACAGCACCACCCCACTGTGCTGGCCGTGCCTGTTAACAATTCTTATGAGCAGCAGTATAATACTGGACTTTTTTTCTTGCATGATTGTTAGCTGCCAAGGTAACATATCTGTGTTGAAGGTGTGGGGTATAAATAGTGCAAATAAATTAAATTCATTTATGTGGGGGTGGGAAACTAAAGAGGGAATGGGGACAGAAGTGCTTGGAAAGGTTATTGGTGGGTTTTGGTTTTCCCTGGGAGTGGGGACTGGCCTTGCCTGTAGGACTAGGGAGAATTACATGGAGGGAATGACTATTTCATTTGCCAACAAAATAAAATGAAATCCGCCATCACTAGAGAAAGCAGAACTTTAATCAATGGGCAAAGGAGAGGTACTTTGGCTCATGAAATCAGGTGGCTTTCAGAAATAATGCAGTCCTTCAATACCCCTATTCATAAATGTCACACATTCCTTCTAGGAGAGCTAAGATGCTACTGAGCCTTGAAATGATGTTATTGACTGTGGTGTATTTCTAATGCAATGCTTCACAAATCAGGATGGTGTGCGCTTGAACAAAAGCTTCTGGACCAATTTCTTGACTCTCACTTCCAACTATTTCACACTTGGCTCCATGCTCTGAACTCCAACACTTGCACATACTGTTGTGGTTCAGCGGCTAAGAGGGCTTCCAGGCTTAGACTGAACCTCAGCCCTCCCTCTGTAATGCAGCAAAAATAACACACAGTTGTTGTGGGGATAATTGAGAGCACTCAACATGGAAAATGCCATGGAAATGTGAAATAAATGTTTTTAACCATTATTCTTTCTACATGCTGGCGGCAGGAGAGGTGAAAAAGAGGTGACAAAATGTAACTATTTTTGGATATTAAAATAACATTTGGCATTTTAATGGAATTTCTCCTAAGTGCTCAGAGTGCAATATGTTATTTCAGTAATTGTTAACAACCATGTAACACAATAGAAATACCAGCGTAGGTTACCTCTCCTTCTACCAGTATATAGTAGAATTAATAACCTCAGTTTGGCAATGAGCTCACTTGAATGGCTGTAAGACAGCCTTCCCCAGCTGCTGCCCTCCAGATCTCACTGGACTTCTATCTGACTGGGGCTGATGAGAGTGGTTGTCCAAGAAATCTGGAAGGCACCAGGTTGAGGGAGACTGTTGTAGTGTAGGCTCTATTAGAGGTGGGAGAACAAGGCCAGGAGAAAGTGTCTACAGCAGCCTTCATCAATCTGGTGTTTTCAGATGATTTGGGCTACAGTTCTCATCAGCCCCAGCTAGCACTGCCAGTGATCGGGGCTGATGGGAGCTGTAGTCTTTAACATAGGGGAAGGTGAAAGGGGGGCTTAGTAGTTGCATGAGAGAGGAAAGAGAAGGTTTAGGGTCTTACAGGGGCAGAGATGAGTGGTGGAAGGTTGGCCAACAGAGTGAGCAACAAGGAGGAGCCCCATAGATATACACACATGTACAGTAAAAGCATCCGTATTTAGTATATACTATCCAGTTTATTGGCACCTGCATGACAGCAATCCCGGGCACTGTTACCTGGGAGTAAGCACCATTGAACTCAGTGGTACTTCTGACTGCAAAGCTTTTAAGTTGCAAAACACACTGCACTTTAATAAAAGATTTTCAGCCTGATGAAATTTAGCCTCTAATTAATTAGCAATGCAAAGCATCTTGCATAGAAGTTTTATAATTTAAACTGCTAGTATGAAGCAGGAACCCCATAAAAGTACCCAGCCTCAGCTTGATAAATCTCCTCCGTTTCTGACTTCCTCTGTGCTGATGCATCAGAAACACAGGTGCAGCTGGCTTGATGGGGCATTGCTGCAGAGCCACTGTCCCAAAAGCAGTGCCACTGCCAGTTACCTGGATGGTGCAGGGGCGGGGCTGTGATGAGTTTGGGCTGCATGGATTCACCAATGGGAGTGCCTGATTGGCTCCGCTAGTGCACCTGTGCAGCCCTGAGCTCACCAGCACTTTATCCTGCTCACACGCTGTCCAGGTAAGTGGCATTGATGTGACTGTCAGAAGGGTGGCTCTGTGGCACTAGCTGCTCCTGCACAAATCTTACCATCTCATTCATTTGCCAGAGCAATCCTATCCTCTTCCTCCAATAGATGATATCATTGCTCCTAATTTGGAAAAAACAAAAAGTCTCAGAGCTGTGCTTTCTCTCTCCACTACACCAGTGGAGGTTTGCTTGAGAGATCATTAAACATTGGAGTAACTGAAGAAAATAGACTTATGGGCAAGGATGTACCAATAAACATATTTCTTAGAAGGATCATGGAGATCCTTAAAGTTGCCAAGGAACTCATGAGCAGGCAAGGAAGTAAACGGGGCAGGGGACCAATGAGAGATTAGGCATGATCAAAGCACCAGGCAGCTTAAGGGATTCAACATAATAGAGAACCTTTTCATGCTTATAAATAGCTGTATGTAATTGCCATGCTCCAAGCTGGAGTAAAGGACTCTGAAACCAGGACTCAAATAAATCCCAGCTTGGTTGTGCACTAACTAAATGGCCTTGGGCAAGCTACTATCTCCCACATACAGTGCTCCATTTGTAAAATGTGATTAAGAACACCAGATTTCCTACATCATAAAGATGTTGAGAGGTTAAATGGTGTCATACTGGAGGGCTCCTGGAAAGCCGCTCCATGGTGTTGGTTGCAGTCTGAATTTGGGAGGGGAGAATCAGACGAAAACATTGGAATTTAGTTTGCATTCACTGAATGCTCAGTGCAAGGGCACACAGAGGTTCATCTCTGGGAGTCTCGTGCAGGATTAGCCATTGTGTTGCCTGCTTCAACGGTCTACTTGCTTCCAAACTACCCTGCCTATATTTTTTCTAAATGTTGTTGTTGTTTAGTCGTTTAGTCGTGTCCGACTCTGCATGACTCCATGGACCAGAGCACACCAGGCACTTCTGTCTTCCACTGCCTCCCACAGTTTGGTCAAACTCATGCTGGTAGCTTCAAGAACGCTTTCCAACCATCTCGTCCTCTGTCATCTCCTTCTCCTTGTGCCCTCCATCTTTCCCAACATCAGGGTCTTTTCCAGGGAGTCTTCTCTTCTCATGAGGTGGCCAAAGTATTGGAGCCTCAGCTTCAGGATCTGTCCTTCCAGTGAGCACTCAGGGCTGATTTCCTTAAGAATAGATACGTTTGATCTTCTTGCAGTCCATGGGGCTCTCAAGAGTCTCCTCCAGCACCATAATTCAAAAGCATAAATTCTTTGGCGATCAGCCTTCTTGATGGTCCAGCTCTCGCTTCCATACATCACTACTGGGAAAACCATGGCTTTTACAATACGGACCTTTGTTGGCAAGGTGATGTCTCTGCTTTTTAAGATGTTGTCTAGGTTTGCCATCACCTTTCTCCCAAGGAGCAGGCGTCTTTTAATTTCGTGGCTAATTTTTCTAAATTTCGTGGCTTATTTTTCTAAATAAGGAGGTGTTAAAGGACACCAGCAGTCTGCAAAAGTTGCAAGAAGCAGATTCCAGCTAAGCATCAGAAAGAACTTTATGGCAGTAAGAGCTGTTTGATGGACTGCCTTGGAGGTTTTTAAGCAAAGGCTGGATGGATTTCCAGAATATTGGCCTTGTTTCACCGTCCTGGGCTTCATCAGACCGCAGCTACTACTATGCCATAAGATCCACTGTCCTGTAACATCACATATGAGCTTTAACTACTGATGAAGCCCAGGACAGCAAAACAAGCCCAATATTCCGGAAATCCTTGTCTTAGACTCTGTGAAAAGATTTTGTAGAACTGTAACAACCTTTCATGTGGATGGTTTGGACTTTATGAAGAGACAGGTGGAATAGACACCATTACACAGATGGGCCTTATGCATTAACTGACTAGAGAATGATCTGATCCACTGGGTCTTCCGCTTTGTTTGTTTATTGAACTTTATGAGTTACATCTGTTGAAATTTACAACTGGATACAATGAATAGTATACCTTATTTATCTAAGAACACAGCCGGTTACGTCTCGTTTATTTAGTTGAGATTCCTGCATTGCAGAGCGTGGGATTAGATGACTGTAATAAATGTAGGGGTTACTCGTGCGCAAGTTGGTGCCACTCCTGGCTAGTTTGCCTTGTTAAACCTTTTCTGTCTGGACAGCCCTACACTTCGTGGCTGTTCAGTCGCTAGCAGAATCCGTCAGTGGGCGTTTCTTAAACCTTTTCCAGCATAAAAGTTGTTTGACTCCAAGTCTCCTCCTACTCTCCCTGCGCGGAAGTCTTCTGCGCAGGGAGGGTATGGGTAGCGGAGGACCCGTGCTCTCCTCGCTGATCTCCGGCGAGGAGTCCTGGAGCCCCCTCGCCGATTCCCCCATCTGCCCCCCTTTATCCCTGGTGTTACGCTGATTTCCTTCCCCAGCTGGTGAGCCGCCTCTCCCCCTGCTGGGCCCTTCTCCAGCATCGCTTGAGAGCCTCGCCTCTGCCTCTGGCTCCGATGTCAGTTCCCTGACAATGACCCTCAAGGTTGCTTCCAATTCTATGATTTATGAGGGCAACCCTG